GCTGTTTTTGCTCATTGTTTCTTCATAGTTTTAAGTAAATAACTTGCAACATTTCAGTTAATGGAATACCAGAATCTTCGTGGTGGCCATATTGTCCTAGCTGATATTCAGAAACCAGCTCGGCATGAGTGGGGCTCGGGCTTGGATGCGATGCAAACTGCATTAGAATTAGAAAAAGAGGTGGGCGTGCTTATTAGGAAGTTGTGATAGTAAAGTTTTATATCATTCGCGTATATACTTTTTTGTCTTCTAGGTGAATTCATCTTTGATTCAACTCCATAAAACGGCAGAACTGCATTGCGATGCTCAAATGCAGGATTTTATCGAGTCAAATTTCCTAAAAGAACAGGTCGAGGCCATTAATATGCTTGCTGGCTTTATCTCGAATCTTAAACGTGTTGGGCCTGGTCTTGGTGAATATCTCTTTGATAAGAATTCCCTTGGCGAGGACAGTTCTGTGCACTAGACTCGTCTTTAAAGCATTTTATTTGAATATTTCCTATTTTCAATAAAGCATTTCTTTATCCTAGCGACCTTTTGCTCATAGCTCAGGAAAATGTGTTGGTTTTTCTGAAACTCATTTTTCGATGTGAACCCTCTTTCTATCCTTGTGTCTTGATTAATTTAACCCCTCAGACATGATTTTCTCCAAGTTCCTGAGTGTGGGACGAGCTAAGGAGGATTTATTATACAGCACTATTATTTTATAGACCTGGGTTTACTATGGAAGTGTATACCCTTGATTAAGGATTTTAAATCTAAATGACCACTTATAAAGATGGCAATAAAAGTGGCTCGATTAAAGTGCTTGACAAGCTTTTCCCCTTGCTTATGACGATGTGCCCTGTGGTACTGCTACACTACCACTCTATCGATGTATCGCGACGAAGTCCCAAACTTACCGGGATATAGATTTCTTGGTTCTCGTCTGCGAATACCAGACTCACTTCCCTAGCTCTGAGTTTATGCCACGCCAATGATCTACAATGAACTTGAAGTGGGCGTGGAACCTTGCACAGGGAACTTTTCTTTTCAAGACTATGCGTAACATCCTCGAGCGGGTTGTGTTTAAGCTGATTCCATAAGCCATGGAATGAAAACTATTTTGACCCCCTGGGTTAAATGGTAAGCCTCTTTTAAAGTCCCGCGATATATTTAATGATCGGAGCTTCCAGCTTAGGAGTAGTTTCTTAGGCTAAAGTCTCTAGTTACTCTTGACTAAGAGACGTGTATTTGAAGAAACC